AATGATCATTTTACTGATATGTATAAAAAATTGCAAAGGCTGAAAAATCTTGAAGTCTGTATGAAATTGGATGTAGTTTGAGGATCAAATTATTTACGCTTTTTAATCTAAAAAAAAGGGGGGGTTGTATTATACATGAATAAATATGGTAAGTTGATGCTTCAACTTCTGCAGAAGTCTTTTMAAACCCTAGTATTTATATTTCTACCTGTGTAATGAATGTGACACCTCTGTCACTAATCAAACTTAAATAACTCTGTCAATCTGACAAATATTTAATTAAGGTCTGACATGGTACTAGCCAAGAGTCATCCTATACTACAAAGTAAGTTGTGTAGTGGAAATATTTATTTAACGAGGAACGTGATCCAAAGAATAAAGGCAGTTTGTWGAATACTCATCTGAGTTTTGTTTATTGCAATAAGCAAGGCACAGAAAAGCTAACAGAACCTGTCTGTCAGAGATMCTGTGCTAACCCTGCTTCCCCTAAGACCTCCTATAAATACTGTTTAACAAACACTATTATGTCATTTCAATAAAGTSGGATTTCATCCTGAAAGGTCTAAAGACATAAATACAAGTCCTATCAGAGTGATTGCTGTTAGCAGATCTACCAGTAAACAGGGTGCCATGGAAAACTGGGTCATTAAACTATGTCATGAATTACTGACTTMAAACAGGTATTTTTTAAAACTTTGTCGTAACTTCAACAAGTTTTATTTTTAAATGAAGTCTCCTTACTGCTCCGCTTCCCTCTGTGTTAATTTGATTTTTTTTTCCTGCTCTTCCCCTCCTGCAGCTCAGCCATCCTTTCCTTGCTTCCTCTGCATTCAGCCCGTCTCTCAGCGTCGACAGCCAGGGGTCCGGTACGCCCGTCATCATGTGCCGCAGTCCAACAGGTAGCCTCTCATTTGTGACGTGCTCAAATCAAACTGTCGGCTTAGTGACTGACTGTAGGACAGCACACGGGTGGTGGAATATTTTCTCATTTTCTTCTTTTTTCTTTTCTTGCATTTTATCACTACCCCGCTGGGTTCTGCAGATGGGAAAAGTAAAACGTCACCGAGGTCAAACTTGAAGTTCCGCTTTGACAAAATGAGCCACTCGTCCACAACGGTAACTTTTAAACTCAGTTCAGCGTTTTTCTTATTGATGGATAAGTAATATGTTCTAATTGTGTGCTTTCACACTTTGTTTCAGGTTAAACAAGTTTTACTTTAAAGCGGACATATCAAGCAAAATCCACTTTCTAGCAGTTAAATACATTTTGTTGTGTAGTTGGAAACTCTAGGAGTGCAGAAAAGTTGAATTAAGACTGTCCTGGTGCTGCAAAGATATCTTTAATATCCGTTTGGGTCATACTTGCCAATCCATTCAGTTTTCTTCGTTCCTATTATCAGTGGTGGGCACCAGCCCGCTAAAGCGCAAATCCGCTAATTGCAGACCTAAATATTTTGTTTGCACTTTAGCGGACTTACTAATATTATAATTTATAAGCAGATTTGCGCTTTCTAAAATTAAAATGCAGTACCACTAATAACTAATAACAGTCATCATTATCTTGAACAGCGGAAGGTATGGCTGTCAATGAGTCACAACAGACATGATCTATCCAACAGCACCCCTCCCAGATAAACACCCTTATTGGAAACCTGTACATCCTCCCTKACTGTTGCATTCGGTCATGGTTCTGATTTCCCACAATGCTTTGTGTCTGCTTACTTAGCAGGAAGGCAATAGCAAATACAGTTAACATTTGTAATCCATACTAAAATTTTTATGTATTGATTTATTTTACTTTACAATTTGAGCTCCTTTTTAAAAAAATAATAATAAAGTTTAAACGCTGGAGCTCAATGCTTGACGTAATTGTTTGAAGCAAACGGCCAACAGGGTCAGACTCTTAAATGATTTAAAGATGTTATGCTAATGAAGACTGACATCTAGTGGTCAACTGGAGCAACTACATGGAAAACTTTAAAATCCAAGCTCTTATTTTTGAAGGGAAGATAGTTTCCTGTACTCCGTGCTTTCGTTTCCCGTCAGTCCATCGTGTACCCAGAATGCATTGCTTCAGTTTTCCAATAAACAGTTTTAAAATTACTTTATTGATGCTTCTTTAATGAAAAATCTTCAACAAACAAAGAAAAAGATAAAGAAGCAGCCGAACTAGCAATCCTCAACAACTTTTTAATTTTTTGCACCATGAGCCAAAGTCCTGTTTCAGGAAATCACATCTCCACAATCCGCGATTGTAGAATTAAGTTGTTAAAGAGTTCATACACTGTTAGTTGGCAGTTTTGTGCATATGTYRTACAAGAATTGTTGCCAGCTAGTAAGTGTCAATTGAACTTGTGCTTTAAAATTAGCGTTTGCTAGTTTTTCTATGGCAAAAGTGCTTGTGAAGTTGCATACCTAAATATTTTTATAAATGCTTTAGAAATCATGGAGCTAAATTTTGGATTAGCGCTGCCCACCACTGCCAGTTATTATTTATTTATTTTTAACAATAATGTCATAGTATTTGCTGCAGAACTGCTAAACAAATCTAAGTTTGTCGTCTTCCTCCTCTGGCGCTGTGTCAGACTCAGGCTCCAACATGTAAGACTGGATGAACAAGTTTTCTGTTGTTGACATCTTTTAATTAAATTGTAAATAAAAAGTATTTGCACTGCTCGATAAACTTATCTCTGCTATCAAACAACAAAAATGTCAGAACTGGGTGAGGTGAACAATAACTGCGTTCCTTAMGTGGGCTGTAGGCCGCTCGTATAGGCTGCATAATTGGGTTTAGCTCTTGCATCAGTATTTGKAAATGCATTTTATTTAACATCTCATTGCAGCAAAAATTTCATCAGCTTATTGCTAGACATGCATTTAAAAACAAATTTTTCGAAGCGTGATGAATTTCCGAACCCAAGCAAGTTACTCTCAGAGAGCGAGGGGCTTGTGGAGCTACAATAAYGAGGAATTCCAACCAAAGCATTGCAGTTCCACTTTATAAAGACCCCAACTGAGTGATTTAAATGTGACAAAGAAGGATTTAAAAGCATGATATGTCCACTTTGAAGCTCTTGTGAACACTTTYTTCTAACCCGCCTCCTTTTTCTCGCTTCTCTTTTCCAGTCTGAGTAACTTTGTGAACTGAAAGCAAAAAAAAGAAGCAGACTTCCACCATGAAGACATACGTGAAGGAGCTGAAAAGGCATCAAAACAAACATCACAGTCCGCGTAAAACCCCTTATGATAGCTAAACACAGAGGATAATCTGACACCACACACCTCACAGATAGTACTGTGAGTGTAATGCGGGGAGAATCAGCTAAAGTGTCGACAGTCTTTAGCTGGTAGTGCTGCGTTCTAATTGGTGTTCTTATCTCAGCATGGCTGTCATACTGTGAGTGCAGGCTGAGCTCTGCTTCCTCCTCATCCTTGTTTCATGTAGTTCAAGACTGAACTGTTAGTCTGTACCTATCCACCTGCCGAGAGGGACACAAACTACCCCTAAATGGTACGTCTGTAAGCAGTTCCTCTTTTGCTTCAAAACAAAGCAAACACACAAAAAAATGAAGGCGACAGAGATAGCCACAAACGCACAAGAACCTAATGTACAGCAGACTTCCAGCTGCAAAGCCTCGAAGGTGGCAGCGCTGGAAGTCTTTTCTTCTTGACCGTGGAATCTGAACTTGTTCTTTGTGAATAGCTTTTCTAGGAAATGGTTCTGATTTTGGAGACGCTTTTGTAACCTCGTTAGCTGCTGCGTTGTGTCTACAGCACTGCAAAGACGACATGCCGCCTCCTAGCACAGCCTTCCCCCCACCCCCCGTATCTGTAATCTTGAAGCCGCCCATGTTAGTGAAGAACTGTTTGCGTGGGGCCCAACGTAGGAGCAACACTGCCAGCACATTTTGTCACAAGCTTATTTTAGCCAAAGCTGCGCCTTACAATCTATCAAAGGCCTCTCTTTCCTCACGCTCAAGTGTTTGGTCTCTCCGAGCGCCTCTGTAAGAGGATGAGAGGCTCCTGGAGCTGGTTACAGCACGGTTGTGGGTAGCCGAACAACACCCACAGTAGCTGAAAAAAAAAAAACCCAACAGTTGCACTTACTGAGAAACATTTCACCTCCCTGTACCTCCCATTGAAGCTTGCTAACTCGGTGTATCAGCGCATTTGTTCTGCGGTGCTTCGGAACAGGGGAGTCTTGTGACGTTATTGAAGAGCTAACAAAGAAGTGAAACTTTCAACCACCTTAGGCAAAAAGAAAAGTTTTTTTAATGTGAATTTGTATTACTTTTGTTGTACCTTGTGTTTTTATGCCTTGTTGGTTATTTTTACAAGGCCTAAATTGTAAAGCTTGTTTCTCCTAACCAAAAAGGTTGACTAAAATCTTTAGGTGTTGTTCAGAAATAAACTGTTTAAAGAATTTGGTTTTAAATTTGAAGAGGGCTTCATAACTATGAGGATTTAAAGGCTCAAATGAATGAAATTACAGAAATCCTTTGCAACTCTTYTTAAAATTTACAACCATTCCTAAAAACAAAAACAAAAGGTTTGGCTRTACTGAAGTGGGTTTCTGTGAAAAAATGATAAATATCTTACCTGTTTAAGACAGCTTCACGAACAGAGTAAGTTTGGATAAATAGAGTGTACATCAAACAGGACTGATGAGCTAACAACACWGCGTTCCAAACTATTATGCAAATTATATTGTTCTCTTATGTTCCTATATAGTAAAAGCAAACAACAGTCAGCATAATTTAAGTCRTTGTTAGAGTATAATTGAAATGTTATTAAAAAATCCCAATGAAAACCTTTTTTTTTCTTCAAAAAAGCAGCTGCTCTCTAATACAATGATTCCCAACCAGGGGTACCTGTACCCCTTGGGGTACGCAAGCATATTACGGGGGTACATGGAAAAATTTCCCAGGTGTGTAATAAATAAATAAAAATAGGACAGAGATTTCCACAATGTGGAATATTCAGACGGAATCACGGCATTAACACAAAATGGAATCCAGTATAAAACGTAGAATCTCATTGAGTTTGCTCATTTGGGTGAGTTTCTGAGGTATTTTGGATGCTGCTGTTTTCTGCACTTCCCATTACCTGGTTTATTTATTTAATTAATTACTTATTCAGTTTCAAGGCAACGTTTTTATCTTTGTTTAATTTGACTTGAAAAAATAAAATGCCTGAGAATTAAATGTTCTAGGGGGTTAAATAAATCATTTTCATTTAATAATCAGTTATAGTTTTGGAGAATCCTCATTACGTTTGACTGAGGGGGTACTAGTGGTATGGCAAAATGGCTCAGGGGGTACACAAGTCTAAAAGAGCTGGGAACTGCTCTAATACAAAGTACATACAGCGGGTAAAATAAGTATTGAACACGTCACCATTTTTCTCAGTAAATATATTACTAGAGGTGATAATGACATGAAATTTTCACCAGATGTCGGTAACAACCCAAGTGATCCATACATATAAAGAAATCAAACCATAAATGTCCAAAAATGAAGTTTTTTGTAATAATGTGGAATGGCACAGGGAAAAAGTATTGAACACACTTACTGAAATTTATCTAATACTTT